GCCTAGAGTACGGAGACCTGTACGATTTCGTCAACTTAGTGAGTTTGATAGGGGCCGTATAGTGGGACTTCGGGAAGCTGGACTTTCTTTTCGGGTAATTGCAGTTAGAGTGCAATAAAGTGCAGACACTGTGGTTAGGTGTTGTCAGGCATGGCTTCGAGAAGGCCGTACGCAAAGAGCAAGGGGCACTGGACGCCGCCGTAGAACAACAGACCGTGAAGATCGCCGCCTAAGATTATTGGCCTTAAGGGACCGTTTCTCCACTACCAGGTCCATTGTAAATGAATGGTTTGCAGAACACGGAAACACGGAAGACCTATTGGCATGCGAAGTGTTTACCGACGAATGAGAAGTTTTGGCTTGTTTTCATACCGGCCACACTGGGTCCTCCCTTTAACTCGAGAACACCGACGTAATCGCCTTGAGTGGTGCAGACAACGGTCACTCTGGGATCAGGAATGGAACAGTATTGTCTTTAGTGACGAGTCTCGATTTTGTTTAGGCATGCACGATGGTCGTGCCAGGGTTAGAAGGCGACGTGGTGAAAGGAGGAATCCTCAGTTTTTTGTTGAAAGACATGTTCATCACACTGTTGGAGTTATGGTTTGGGGTGCTATAGCTTATGGTTCCAGGTTACCTTTAATCTTTATCAGAGGTAACATGAACGCGCAGCGTTATATCCACGAAGTTCTAGAACCCCATCTTTTACCCTATCTTGACACCCTGGCAGATCCAACTTTCCAACAAGATAATGCCCGACCACATGTTGCGAAACTCACAATAGACTTCTTTCAACATAATGATGTCACATTGTTACTAAGGCCACCAAGATCTCCCGACTTATCCCCAATTGAGCACGTGTGGGATATGATGGGTATTAGATTGCTCAATTTGCAACGTCCTCCTCAGACTCTAAAAGCACTTCGAGAGGAGTTGGTGGTTGCCTGGAATGAGATACCACAGGAGGACATTGACCACCTGATCAGAAGCATGCCTAGGCGCGTTGGAGAATGCGTAGCACATCAGGGTGCATCCACACATTATTAAAGGTCAAAGGGCTTTAAAGCAGTGCAATTATTTTGAAATTTTTATCATTTACTTATTATGCTTCATTAAGTCCTTATACAAAATTTTATTAAAATAAAACCATTTAAACTGGGTGGATTTATATGCCACTTAGTATATTTCATGGGCTACAAGCCAAAGAGCTAGACGGATTGACATATCGTCGACAGTCTGACAAGACCTGCTAAGTGCAAATAGGATGATTTTACAGGAGAATGAAAAAACACATCAAGGGTCTGGTATGGTGGCCCTTGTACGTGAAATATCAACTTTATTATAATTCTATTGTTACTGTGAGCAGGATAAACTAATTTTGCTAAAATATGATTGGACTTTGCTTAAAAATCACATAGCAGATATTGTTACAGTGTAACTTAGCGACTTAGCAGCAATTGCTATAAAGAAACTTTATTACCTAAAGAAGGACAATATCATAGGTATAGTAATAGTTTTAGAAAATAAAGAACATATTTTAGATAGTTAAGTACATACAACTTCATTTCTTGCATTTCTTCGTTTTTTGTTTTCCATCCAAAGCATCGGACTCAGTAGTGTTTTCGGCAGTTGTATCTTTTTTGTATGGAAGAAGGTCATAAAATGTATGGCAATCTTTGGAAATAACGCTATTCAAGTGTTGTAGATGCTTCCATTTAGTCTGTGTTATTTCCAATCTATCGCTGTAAAGGCTAGGGTAGTTTGAAGTCACAGCGATTTGTTTCGGTCTACTCCGAAGACTTTTGAAATCGTTATCGAAATCAAGCTTCACTTTCAGTTCACCGCAGGGATCATAGCATAGCGCTTTGATGTCGGTCACAAGGTTATCTCTGCCGGGTCTGATTGTCAAATAACGAAGGAGCTCTGTTTTACTATAATCTTTGAAAAAGTGTGCTCCAGCTGGATCACTTCGTATGGGAATGGTCTTTTCTAGCTTCTAAAGACGCTGTTACATAATCACTGGGTAGCTTGATTATCCTGTTTTTTTAACTTTCTTTCTATGCAACTATGCACTGAGTCGCATTCCATCTGTGTATGGCCTTTCGTGAGATACTTTTGAATAATAGTAACTTTGTGCATGATAGCGAAATTCAGTAAAGCGTTTGACATAATGTTGTTCCTGTTCTGAAATGTGCACCCGTCTGAGTAAATAATTATTGGCAAATTATGTTGTAAGCAATGCCTGTTTAAATAATCCAGCAAACATGAAACGAAAGTCGACGCCTGCAGTCCAGAGTCGACCTCGGTAAACCAATAGCACGTGGCTTGGTGACTTACAATATTATATATGGTGAAATTGTTGCAGCTTAGCTTTGTTTTAAAATAAATATTTGTTGCATTCACCAACGGAGCAACTTTTACAGCTTGCAGATCCATGCAAATTACAATGCACTCGCCTTTCACAGCTTTCTCCTTATCTCGGTTTTTTTCTTTTCTAGCTTTTTCTTTGTCTTCAATATGTTTACTCCAAATACTACTATCAATGTTACCATTTTCCTGCTCTATGCAAATGTCACATCTATTTTTCTTTGGTGAAAACAAACTAAGATTTTTCTCTTTAAATATCTGCTTAAACACCTTTATACCCAGGCAATGCTTGTTTTTCTCATCACAAACCTCTATAAAAATTATGCAATTGCTTCAGAGTAACGAAATGTTGCTCTAAATAAAATTTACTGGTATCCTTTCTCACATAGTGAGATGGCTGTTTCGGAAGGACATCGAAAAATAAATGCAGGAAAGCTTTACTGTCCTCGAAAGCGCGTACCCTATTATTCCTATTCTTTCGCTGTTTATTAAATTCTCCCTTAGACTCGTTCATATCGTATACACTCTCTTTTTTCCAACTTTCCACTGTGAATCGTCCTAGCCCTGTAGCATTGAGAAATGTTTTGCGACAGACTTGAACCAATTCTGTATTATTATGTAGTTTGTATGTCATGGTATTTTCTCGTCTACTGCTTCCATTTTCAGTTGTTTTCCTAGATGGAGGCTGGAGGCTGACATGTCCAGAAACAAACAGCTTTCTTTGATCCCACGTCATTTTTTTCCAAAAACGGGAAAATATTTGTTTTCGTATATCTTCGGTGAAAGTATTACAATTTTTGAAACACATGCCATTCCCAGTTTCCTCGCTGGGCGAGGAGTATTATGTTTGAAGTTTTTGTCCTTGTCACGCGAAAATCCAAGGTAATCCTCCCCTTTCATTCTTAGTAATTTGCTTTTATTCCTTTTCCATTCATTTTTGATTTTTGTCTGCTGTAATTTTTATTTTTCGTCCTTCATTCATGTCACCCCAATTAGTCTCATTATTAAGTTTTTGATGATCATTGACAGTCGGCTGTCCTTCAGGATGATTTTCAGTTGCGCTATTTTCTTTATCACTTTAGATAGCATTATCATTGAAGCTGTCGTCCTCTACTGCATAGACATTATCTGGAACGGAATCACTGTCAAGATCGCTTTCATTTCTACTGCTACTAAAATTGCCATGACTTCCAGCGGTTGGCTGATCTTGATCACGATGGCGAAGATCTAAGTCTTTATCCTCTAAACCACAAACATTTATTCCTAGCTCAGCTGGCAGAAGATTGAACTCAGCTTCATCTATTTCAAGAACATCATCAGCCAATACGATCTCTATACTGTTGATATCAAATCCATTAAAGGTGCTTATGTGTTCATCATATCTTTCTGGTAAGGTGCTTGGTACTGCTGGTACAACTATTTGGGAATCAGTTTGTACTGTATTATCAAGTTCTTCGAGAGCTGATTTAGTTTTTTCTTGTTCTCTCACTAGATTTAAGATTTTTTGTGCTCGGGACGCCATTTTTCCTAAAAGAAAAATATAATTTTGTGTTTATTCCGCACAAGCACCATACCTGTGAGTTGCATTTGTTCACCTAGATGACATAAACATCATAAAAATAATATAATTATGCTTATCAACAGGTAAAAAGCACTACTTTTGTGTTTTCCAGTGTATAACAGTTTACAATATCAATAGAAACAGAACATGCTAAGTTCCTCCTTATACAGAAATAATATAATTGCAATGACTGCTATCTGCGCTTTATTACAAAACGTTGATTTTAATTGCTTTGATGAGTTGTTTGTTCAAAACTATAATTATGCATATAAAGTAAAACTTATTCTTACCCTTATTTGAAAACTTCTGGAGTCTTGGCTGGTTATTCGGAGAAAAACTGGACACAATAAGCGGTGCGCGCCAACACGTGGTTAATAACCTACAAATTTACGAATGCAACTGGACGTTAGCAGGTATTGCGTCAGCTAATACGAGTAGTAGACGGGAAAGATCGCAGCTATTGTTTCGCGCCAATAGCGTAAACAAATGAATTATCTGTAGTTGGCAGATTATTTCATATGATGTGCCGTTAATTTATGAAGTCAACTACATAAAAAACTCATTTTCAAAAAAATGTCAGTTAGCAGGTATTGTCAGACTGCCGACGATATGATGTTGGATTTGTCATAGCAGTCCGAGTGACACAAATATACTGGCGGATTTTAAATAAAAAGATTCGACCTTGAACTTCGTACCTCACAGGCTACAGCTTAAACGGCTGGATGTATTTTGAAACGTGTGGAGTTACTAAATTCATTTTAGCAGTATAAGTGACACTGGCTTTATTACCATTTTATAAAAACAAAATGGCGGATTTTAATGTAAAATTTCAAGTTCGAAATTTCGCAAGCTACAGCTTAAACGACTTGACGGATTTTGTCATACTATGTGTCTAGATTTGTCTTGACAGCCCCAGGGTATATAAAAATTCCGAAGAACCAAATTGGCGGATGGATTTTGAAATTTGAGGTGTCCTTAGATTCGTCTTGGTAGCTGAATTAAAATTCTTTTCAGTTACCACAACCGCGCTTGCACTTGCACTTGCTTATTCTCTATTTTGTTTATATTCCAGCGGTACTTTTTGATCGACAAAGGCGTCCTGGTGTACGGAAAGGGTCCCACGGAGATAAGCAAAGGCAAGATCCACGGCACTTTGGACATCGGTCTGTCTGTCATATCGACAAAGCAGAAACGTCGCCGCATAGACATCGACGCCGAAGAATTCATCTACCATCTGAAGGCGAAGAGTGACGAGGCGTTCTCGAACTGGGTACAGCAACTCACGGCGCATAGGCTGTTCAGGCAGCACATCTTGACGTATGGCACTAACGTGGGAGCGTTGTTCAAGCCCACCGATGGACTTCATAGTATGTATTTTGTACAATATTGAAAATCATAATCTTAGTTGAATCAGTCATTGCAAAAACCTCCTTAGTCATACGATTCCGTAAACTATCGTTGACAAGTAATTAGAGTAGTTTTTATATAAATTAATATAGCAATTTGAACTTCACAGTTAATTGATAATGGAAGCAAGCCGAAAAGCTGTTCTGGACTTACATTGTTTCAGCAGGAAATATGGATGGTAGTTTATAAATTAGGCGAACGAAACATAGTACATAATCATATTTTATGGCTTATTATGGAAAATTACACTTAAATATTGACTTATTAACATGTCACACGTTTAATTTTTGCAAGTGCTGGCATATATCAGGTTCATAAAGAAAATCCATCAGTGGGAAAATTCCTTTTTACACCCAAACCATGAATCTGTCATTCGCTCAACTGTTTTCAGTAATCGGCAGACAGCAACATGTATTTGTTTGTTTGTTTGTTTTAGATTTAGTTAGCATTAATGCTACAATGTCCATAATATCCATATTACACAGTATATCACAAAATATATTATGTCTTCAAGATTACATATTTTCATACAAAATTTCACTACTATGAATTCTGGTTTTCCATGAGATATTTTTTCAATTTCCCTTTGAACATTTTCCAACTGACACAATACTAACTTGCTCGTTATACTGCAGTTTTGTAAAAGAAAGTCTATACTTCCTCTAGTAGAATAATTGTGGCACTCGTTGTTCAATACAATAAAATTTTCTAAGTGATTTGGTAGAAGATGATTGTTTAACTTGAATATGAAAATGAAAACCAAGTAGGCTATGAAATTTTTGATATTTAACCATTGTAGTTCTTTCAGCATAAAATTTATTCTAGTATATTTATTTTTATTTAAGATGATTCTCATAGCTTTATTTTGTAATTTTGAAAATACAGTTTCATTTGCAGTGAACAAAATAGTCGAACAATATAACAAATGAGGAAGAATGATATTGTTGTACACAATTTTTTTAGAATAAACGCATGGGCAAAGCGAAATTCTATAAAAGTAATTTAATTTCTTGGATATTTTTGAAATAATATATTCATAGTGCCCTTCAAATTTTAATTTACTGTCTACGTATATGCCCAAATATTTAAATGATTCGATTGACACAATATTTTCATGATTAATTGTAAGATTTATCGTATTTTGATCTAAAGATCTTCCTATTAGCATATATTTTGTTACCGAGCGTTATTTATGAGAATTTGTCATAGCGCTTCTATATCTACTATATATACTTTCAACAGGATAATGTCTCTTAGATGGCGTTGTAGTCACCCATGTGCTTGTACCTTAGCGGACAAAAGCTTGGAAACATTTTTAGTAATTTTTAAAAAGTGCGCTAATTTTTTATTCTTTATTATTAAGGACTATTTTTTTTTCTCCTACAGTTTGCTTACAGTCTTGAGGATACAAATGGCAATTTGTGTTTACTGTGGTACTACAAACTAGCATTAAACTACCTTCATATTATTTTATGACCAAAAATGAGAATAAAAAAGAAAAGTATGGTAACATATTTTTTATTACAAAATTTAATACAATAACTCTACAAGAAGATTTTACTGTTTAGCTAATATTTGGTAGCATAGCCTTTAGCATTCAACACTGCCTGACATCTGCTGCTCATAGAAGACACCAATTTTTTACAGACCTCTGATATTTTGCAAATATTTTTTACATGATCAAATAAATCGTTCCTATTTTTAACAGCCTGACTTCTTTTACCATGCTCTCGGAGGTCTTCTATAGGTTGAAGTCCGGGGATTGCGAAAGCCATGCAAGAACATTAACATTTTTTAGTCTTAACCAATCCTTTAATTTTGAGGTATGCTTTATTATTTTCCTAGAATTGGACCCGTTCCAGAACTATAAAAACAGCCCTAAACCATGGTGTTGCCTCCACCGTGCTTAACTGTTGGCAACTGATGCTTTTTATCGAATCTTTTTCGTATTGGACGTTTCGCATATGCCGTACCGTCAGACCCAAACAAGTTAAATTTGCTTTGATCGCTCCATAAAACTGTATTCTATTGTTGTTCTGTCCAAGTTAGATGAGTTTTAGCAAATTCAAGCCGAGCAATAGGATTTTTTTAATGAGAGGATTTTGCACTGGACGCCTCCCAAAAAGCCCAAAATCCATCATGCGTCTCTGCACTGTTCTGACTGCAAGATTCTCGGCACCCTCTTCTATGATCCTTTTGGAAATCTGTATGGCTGCCATCCGAGGATCTTATTGGGACAAACGTTTAATGTAGAGATTCAAAACATAATCGCTTTTCTTCGGTCTTCCGCACCTAGGCCGCGTTGCTCTTGATCCGTATTCTTGATATTTACTAATAATTTTCGAAATCGTCCCTTTGTTCATTTTTAATCTTTGAGAAATGTCAACACTTCTGACACCACTTCTAAATAATTCAATTACTTTGTCTCCTAAATCTTTTAAAAATCCCTTCACTTTTGCCATTTTCACTGATGTTAATATTTACCGCACGCAATTTTAGAGTATCGCAGAACGAATAAATGCGCCAAAACTGAAAGGTTTCCATACTTTTGTCGTTACAAAAACTCTGGTCTTTAAGAAAGCGCGTGTTTTTATTTTCAGATAATTTGAATATTGATAAGATAAACCTTGTATTAGTACGGGAGCCAAAGGTAGGCTTTAATATTTATATTATCTGTTCCTTCACAAGTTTAATTTAGGTATATGAAATAGTTCATAATAATGTTAATATTTGTTTCCAAACTTTTGTCCGCTACGGTATATGCCCATAAAGACAGTGCCATCTATGATATACCAACCTTTTCAAAGTATATAGAGTTAATAAAGAATTATTTGAAGAGGAATGAATGTATTTACTTAGAATACGGATCTTCCCTTAATGAAACGTTTTCCGTAACAAAAATATGTGTGTGAAATGACCGATTCAATTGAAGGTTTCATAATAATTTATGTTCATATCTCAGTATTTTTGAAGCCATTTTTAGAATATCAAATATAAAAAATACGTACGTACGTCAAATTGTTATAGGCATTCCAAGGACTCCCGAGATCTTAAGCCGAGACGGAAGCCTGACCAGAGGTCTTCAGCCTCCAAACGGCTCGATTCGTCTGAGCTTATGGATACATGAATCTCTATCGGCTTTGGAACAGCAGCAACGTGAGTCGGCATCTGCGGAACAGAGTCTCACCAAGCTGACAAAATTACTACAGCAGATTGAAAGCAATAGCATTGTTGTGGTAGAGGTGAGTTCAGTTTGGAACACTTTATTTTTTTATGGCACAATGATCTGTTCATCAACAATATTAACATCAACATCAATAAAATCTAGTATCCCTAGCATAGATGTCAACTAATTCATGGTTTTCAAATGTAAAATACATATTAAGTCTAGGAACCCCTAAGACATATTATTCCTAAATTAGACACAAGTTTTTCATCATCGAGAGGAGGGACCTCGGTTGGCCGCGTGGGTCAGAGTGTCGTGCTACTGATCAGCCGGCCGCCCGGGCCGCGAGTTCGAATCTCGCCTTCGCCATGGATGTTGTGACGTCGTGTCTTTGTCCATAATTAGATATATATTTACCAACCTAGTTTCTGGCTGCATGGCTCGGTCCTAAAGCCAAAAAAAAAATCATCCTGAGGTTTTGCCAAATTAGTAAGTATAATCAATATTTTTACTCGACTGTCTCAGAAGGAGTGTTATGTTTTTCGCGCGTGGCTATGTATGTATGTACGAGGGTGGTCCGTAAATTGGAGTCTCCATCGAACCCGTAACGACGGAGCGAGCTACCTCAAACTGATATCAGCGCGGCGTTCTGTGCTTCACCTTGCACAACCTGTGTTTACCATTCTACGATGCTAATTCTTGGCTTAGCAGGTGTTGACGATGAAAGAGAAAATCTACGTTCTCAAGTGTGAATTGCTGTCTGTGATTAGATTTCTGTGGTTTAAGGGGTCAACATCTATTAAAATAGGTACATCGACTTGGTTCTACTACTTCACGATAGATACTAAGGAACAATCAAAACTATTGCAGCTTTGCAATTCTCCAAGTGTCTTAGAAGTTCAAGCAAACGCCGTTAGTGGGGCAAGTGTTAAGACACAGGAAAGGCGTACTGTTGGGGGGAGGAGATAATGAAATTCCTATATGCAAAAAAGAATGGGTTACGTTTTTTCTTCTAAACAAATTCAAACATTTCATATTTGTTAGTAATTCGCAACAAAACATGATAGACACATTCGCTTTGTTTTAAAATGTGTATTGTAATGTATGTTTTTCGAATATCCTAGCGTCTTTGTTCAATTACTCTCAAATACGAAATGTTTGAATTTGTTTATAAGAAAAAAACGTAACCTTTGTTCTTCTCATAAAAATAACTTTTATCTTTCGGAATGGTTTGTGATTCATATCGGCAAGGTAAACACGTATATTTTCCTATTAAATGCTCTTTGAACCAACCCTGTATATTGCTCAATAAACTAGTAGTGATGGCCGGAAAACAGGTGTTTTGGGATAAACAATTAGATATTCTCAACAAACTACTTGACCAATATACTCCAATTTTGTTGTTATTATTCAGAAGTACGAATCCTACGGATTTGAAGAATTTCAAGTAGTTGCGTGAAATGATCGTCACATTATCAACAAGTGCCAAAACCTGCATTTTGCCTCGTTTTTCGGCCATAACATTTTTGTTATTAGTCGGATCTTTTTACGTGTGGTCTCATTTTGTAGGTCTCATAAATCCCTAAAAATCTTATATGAAAAGTTTTTTCGTTCCTGTCAACACTATCGATTGAATCCTAAAAAGACGCATTTTCTCATTCTTTGTTGAAAAATAAAAAGTTTACCCACAAAAATTGGTGTACCCATTTTTTATGCGTCCATATTTTGAATACCCCTTTGAATAACTTGCACCAATAAAACCAGACTTTACAATTATTTCGGGAAAATTTGCTAATATGATTAGACTAGCTCGACGATTGCCCAGCGTAAAAACAATATTCGCAAGGACATGTTCGCTATTCCACGACTTTTAACGAATTTGTAGTCTAGATTCGACGAGTATGTACGTCGGATGATTCGCATCTCAATGATATTTAAAAAAATAAAACTCCCATCTGTCCACTTTATTAAAAATTCAAATTATCTGAACTATGTTTTGAGGTTTTTTCAATGATTTTTTAAAATCCGCTCAACTTTATGGCCCACCCTGTATAAGAACAATTCTTCGGAACTTCTTACTTTGTTACTTTGCAGAGTACGGGTGAGGCGCAATCTCCGAACGTCAAGAAAGATAGACGGAAGTTTGGGTTGAAAAAGAAGAAATCGTCGAAAGGAGGAAGCGTTGATTTGACAATCCAGTTCAGCGGAAATAAATCCACGACCGGCACCGACACTGACAACACATCACCGTTGTCGGTAAGTGTTGAATCCAACTCTTAACTCATCAGATTCAGCATGCGATTGCTAGTTACAGATAAATTGTGTTTATGAATAGTCGGTTGTATTGCCTCCATACACATGTTTTTTTTCAATAAAACTTATATTACAAGAATAACGTTGGAAAGCAAATACACGAAAGGTGACTACTAAAAAATATAGACATCTTGATTCATTTATAAAATCGAAAATAAGTCGTTGCGCTCATTTCGATGGGCCAGGGGGGATTGCGTGTTTAAACCAATGTGAAAGTGGCTGACTTTGGGGGACATATGATTTGCAAGGTCACACGTTCGAAACGCGATCCAGTGGCGTAGCATAGGCATACTGTTCAGACGACAATGTCTATTCTGCCACTAGTTAAATCCGCCACTGGGTCTCACCATTACTAATTCCACAAACATGCAAAAAAATCACTGCAGATAAAAATGAAGGAAATACGATTGACAAGTCGCTCCGTCAACACGAAAACTCACAATGACACTTTTAAATGATAAATGAATGAAAGCTATTTGTCATATTGCAACTTTGCTAAGAATAGCCGTACAACAAATAATTTTTCTCATCACGTCATGGAAGTTATATTCCTAAGTACGTATGCAACATGGTAAATTTCCGAGATGTTTGCAAAAACTCGAATGTAAATAGATATGTCATATTTTTTAGTAGTCGGTGTGTTAGAACTAATGACACCTGATGCCAAACGTCGGCGATGAGTCCACTCGTCAATTAGGTTAGAGTACCTCAGCTACATAATATCCTTCGTATATTTAAAGGGGCTTTTGCCCAATTGCACTGCGATATTTATATCTATCTACAGGGTGATTCACAAGTCGTGACCAAAAATGATACATCATACACGTATTTCAAGCGGGATCTTCTGTGTAACACTTTTTCCTCGAGGGCTTCGTTAAAAAGGTACGGGGTGTCGATGTTTAAGAATAAAAAACATTTTTTTAATACATATCTTCAAAGCCGTCAACTGGAATACACTAAAATTTGGTATGTGGATTTACTTAAGTAGTGTCCTCATTCAAAAGTCTTTATTTAAAATTAACGTGCAATTTTTCAAATGTTACCTTCAATTTGCTACAAATAATTACTCTTGTGTTTGATTTCTAGAGTACATTGTTTTCGTAAAAATTAGATCATTCATGAAGAGCCGAGATACAATTATTTTCAAAATAAAATAGGAGCCCTTGACACCAGCTTGATGTTTTTTGGGAGATAGTTTGTCAAAGTTATGTTATACGTTTGTTATCGTAACCACTACCATTTTTTTTTGTAAAAGCCAATTTAAAAGTTTCTTTTATATTATTTTTGTGTACTGGTTCTGTTATGGAAATGCATGCTTCAGCGGCTTCTCGGGAGTATCAACGTAGATTTCCTAACAGATGGTCCAAAGGTTTTTACGCCTTCATTTCTAAGAATTGCCACACTTCCCGGAGTTAAAGGCCATTGTGTCAGTCATACTGTTTAAGAGGAACTGGAAGTGATTAATTTGGCGTTTGATGATCCTAGTACAAGTACGAGTACTAGGCGGATTGCAGCTCAGTTAATATGTTCCCTAAGTTTTGCGTGAAGAATTTTAAATCGGGAAGTTTTACATCTTTACCACCGGCAAAGCGTGTAATATCTGCAACCCGGCGACGAAGTGCAACGGCGAAATTTTTGTGAGTGGTTAATGCAAGTGCATAATAAAAATGCAGATTTTATTGGTTTGTTTTTGTGGTCAGATGAATCGCTTTTTACGAGGGGTGGAACCTTTTATCCTCATAATGAACATATTTGGTCGTTAGAAAATCCCCGTTCTGTAAGAATCTGCTTGTTTCAACACAGATTTTCTAGAAATGTTTGGTGCGGGATTTTCAATGGACAACAATTTGTGCATGTATTGCCACAACGTTTAAATGCAAACTCATACTTAGCTTTTCTAGAGAATTACATAGAAACTGTGAGATGATGTTCCGTACTATTTTTATTTGGAAAAATAATGTCACTAAGTAAAGACTTTTGAATGTGTTCAATACTTAGGTAAATCCACATACCAAATTTTAGTTCATTTCAGTTGACGGTTTTAAAGATATTTGAGAAAATGTTTTTTATTTTTAAACTTCAATACGCCGTATCCTTTTAATGAAGTCCTAGAGGAAAAAGTGTTACATAGAAATGCGGTCGTGTCAACTTGTGAATTAACCTGTATATTTCAAACATTCAAACGGTAATTTGAGCTACTCGACCGTCGAATTGTAACAAAATCAAAGTACATTTTAAGTTAGAATCTTAAGCAGAGGAATTACTCACTTTAGCTCATCAGTTTAAGCTCCTGTCAAGTTAAGAGTGTGGCAGTGCAACCGAGAATTAAAATTTCATGCACCCTACCTGAAACTCAATTTTTACACGATTTAAAACATACCCTTTTTGAAATCCATTCCGGACAGATGCTTTTTTACTAAACATCTTTTTACAAAATTCAGATCGGATTCAATCAGCTGATAGATTAAATAAATATATGATGGCATCTGACGATGTTAGTTTTCAATAAACGGGTATTTTACCAATTTGATTATAATGTACTGGCCTCGTTAATCGTGTTGGAAATGTACAGAGGAAGAGTTCATGAGTGCATCTTTTTCTTCACAGTACCCACGCACCCCTGGCACCCACATACTCCGTTCTTATCACTCTACCACTGCACTCTTCAAGGTATTATTTCTGTTTGTGTCTGTTTTTGTCCTTTTCAGTTGTTGTTTGCAGCACGCTAATTGTATCTGCTTATTTTTTGAATCCATAATGTTTTTGTTGCTTTTACTTCCTACGCCACTGGCGTAAATATGACATATACATTACGAACGACCAGTCACTCATTTCCGTCGGTTTGTCTGTCCGCTAATCCTGAGTCCTTCTGTAACTTGGAAAGTACTGCTCGGATTTTGATGAAATTTTCATACAAAAACGAAAATGATTTTTTTTTTTGAAAACCGTTACTGTGACGATGAAGCTACAGCTAATAATTTTCTGAAACATGTTTGCATGGATTCAAAATTAGATGTTGAGGATTGAGGGGGTGGGGGAGAGCACACGTCAATTTTTTTGTACTCATCTATAAGCTTCCAACTCCAGTAAGTCTGCGCAACTATTAGACATATTTCATACATCCTCAATTTCCCCGTACATCTGCCCTTAAAACTTGAATGATTTATTTTATATACGCGTGCCGGACAAGTCAACGAGCGTACATCTATGCAACACCGTGCTGGATTTACGAGTGCCGCGGCAGGCAGAGTTGCCACGTTGCTGGGTGGTCGGTACTATCGGTAGGGCGGTAGGCTAGATCGCAATGTTGTCAAATCTGTGGGGACTATGGACTAATTGCATGAGCCTATTTGACTGACATGAACCATTTAATTCCTTCGTTATACTATCGTGCTAAGCGCAGAGGGGCTATCCGCAATTTTCGGACATGTTTGATTATTGACACGTAGTGAAGCAATGTCATTTACTCACTGGCAACGTTTTTTAGCCATAATATATAATAGTTTTCTTGGAATCCTACATTTTTGTTTAACGTATCTGTACAAATGAATTGGAGTTTCAAACTTTGAACGCCTTTCTTTCAATTTCATGATAACATGCAGATACCCCATTTGCGCTTAGCAGTGCATTACACATCTTCGTAGCCAACTTTTTAGATTGTGCTGAATATAATCATTTATGAATAGATGGCAGCATTCCCTAGGAAGTGCAGAGTCAAACTACTTGACGCCGTTTTTTGAGTAGATAATATTCGTAGTTTGATTTATATTATTCTATTGTACCTTCCACAACTTATCTATTTCCAGAAAAAAATCGAAACATGAAATTGATTTTAGTGGAGATTTTATTCGAAAATATTCTGTTAGGGCCACAAAACACGATATGACATTTGACTCAAAATTTGTGTGGTAGTTGGCAACCTAGCAAAAGTGAGGTTATCTAAAATGACAACGGAGGCTGTCACATCTACTGTACTGCTTTTCTTACCATGACCATTTGCCAGGTTGCCATTTGTCGTCTACTTTGATATATTTTATAATGAATTTCATATCGTGTCATGCGGCTCTTTTTAATATATACCTGCATGCTTTGTCCTTTTCTGTTTATTAATTTTAATCAACTCGCAAGAAGCAATAGATTGTAGTTTTGAGCCCTCAAAAATGTTCTTGCATGATGTGGATTACACACCCTCTGTATTTTACGATCATATCTTGGATTATTTTAATTTTATGACATATTAATTAAGCAATACGATTCTTGCCGATCCAAGCCTTGTTGATGTCGAGTGACCTAAGTACGCTAAAGCGTGTTCAAGATATGTTGTTTATCTAATCATGAGGATAGTAATCCAAGGAAAATGTTTTTGTATAATTTTATAATATCATATACAATAATAAGGGATAATATATCGATATGTAGACTACGAGAATATCCATTATAGTAATCACTGTTTTGGTAGGTGCTTAGTTATTTGCAAACTGTGATTTAGGTGTTTTTTCGCTATTTGTTTTTATGCGGAGCAAAACGTTACTATTGTCTGTTAGGCACAATCTACTGTTAACAATAAACATTTGCACTAGCTTTCGGCAACATACATAATGTTATCGTCTACCAACGGTAGGTGACGTGCTTGAGTTTTCAGATAAATGGCACATAAGTACATATGTACCACCTTAATTACATATTTGTTTATAGTTATCGTTTATCATACTTAGTTACTAGACTGTTTTCGGTCTATTTGTGTGAAAATTTGATTTTGTGGAAAGAATCCTTGCGAAAATTTTTATGTGCCAATTCATTTTATATGCATTTTTGGAGTTACTTAGTATTATCGGGAGTAATAATTTATATCCCTTGTAATGGGTCATGGGTCCCCAACTGCACGGGTCCATTTCCAAGCTTCTAGGCTTCCTGATTGTTAAAACTACTTTATTTATTAATACGTGTAATTCTACCAAAGTGGGGGTCTGAAATAATTTGTACTGAAAAATATGTGTTGTTATTCTCGTCACCAAGAACTTGTAGAGATCGATGGCCGACGCACAGTGGTCTATTCTTTCGAACACCTGTCAAAATTCGAAAAACAATTTATCGTAATTGAATTAAAATGATTTCCTATCAAGTTAATGCCTTAAACAGTGAGCTGAAGATGGAATCAGAACTTTGCTTACAGTACCTTCACCGTGGCAGATTATTGGGATTGAAGTTTTTAATGTATCATTTGACACTACTTTTTAAAGACAGTTGTGTTGTGCGTTGAATAATGTTGAATAATAAAGAGAGTGCGAATTTTCATTTGATGTAACAGAAAACTGTCATTCTAGTTATTTTCATGTACACCGTGAGTTGAACTAATTACTATTTTTAGCTTCACTTCTTTTTGTTAGTATTATTCAAAGACCTTTTTACTAAGGTTCCGTCCTTTGCCCCGATTGAAATGTTTGTGAACCTTGAAGTACTGCCAGATAAAATCTAGTGTCAGTTTTTGTTAACTTTGCAAACTATTGAAAAATATAACCTTACATACTGCCATACTATCATAGGTGGTCGCATACAATTATTCAACTTTTTGAGTTTTGAGTTGCCTTAAAATTTTAATTTTGACTCAACGATTGCAAAAACTCATGTGACTCGAATGCTAGATTTATTTTGAATTAGTCGTTGAAGTAACGTTAAATGACCTTCTGATACTCTTATAGTGACTCGCTGATCTCTGGACTTATTAACAAGAAAAACCTAAATTACATGCTGGGCTCAACTGATCGGCTTCTTTAGAAAATTTCCTTGATATGACTTTTAAGTGACCTTGAAATGTCCTCATAGAGATAAAATAACCTCAAATTTGAAATCAGCGACCCAAAAAACCCTACTGAAAATCGTATAAATACCTTAGAAATTTGTTTTTTACAGCTTTTCGGTGTTCTAGACCACTGTGTTTCGGAACAAATGTTTCACTTCACAACACTACAAATCAATTTTTGTCACAAAGCTGAGAGAATACAGACATCGCCGACTAATGTGAACGTCAGATTATGTTTTGTTAGTTTTGTTTATGAATATGGAGTTGCAGCTTGATGTTTCTTTAAATAAAAACGGTGAATGGTGTTTCTTCTAGGCTAATTCATTTTCTGCGCTCTCTTGTTCGCCACAGCCTAACGCGGTCTCAAGCACTACATCTACGTTGCCGATTCCAACAGCTGCCTCGAATGCTCCTACTCCCGACAGTTTGAGTAACGTTGACGTTATCTCGCTATCCGCTGATAATCAGATGAGGGAGGACTTCGTCACTTTGGCCAAATCAGGTAAATAAGGAGTAGGTTATCAATATAGGTTGATTGCACGTCAAAATTAACGCATCCCGACTAAAGTGTAGAGCTAGGTCAAATCGTTCCTTTTGGTGATTCGATTCCATGGTTTCAATTCCGGCCTTCCTTTCGTTCACGATTCCTTCCATTTGTTTAGGATTCCGATACCTTTCGGTTCTAATTCCCTGTTAGCAGTATTTGTGAGATTGTAAAAAGTATTCGATCCGACAATATACGAGGGTGGATCAAATATAAACCGGAATTTTACAAATACTTTTCTTAGCCAATCACGAGCGCTCTCACAGTATAGGTCCTTGCAGAATAGTGTATTAGGAGCAGGGATAACGCATGGTGACCTGTTCCACTTAGTCAATGCTTCAGTACAGCCATGAGTGTGCAACCGGTTCCACCGTCCGTTGCACAACAAGTTATAATAAAGTGTTTGACGAAGGAAGACGTTAAACCGTGCGAGGCTTTGGCTCGATTGATGGCTCAGTATGGGGATGATACCCTGTATAAAAATCATGTATTCGATTGGGCCAAAAAGTTCAGGAGTGAACGAGATCGTGTAGAAAATGTGAGTCATAATCGTCGACCAGCATCAAGTGTCTCTGGTGACTGTTCGTGACCTTATTGAATGTGAAAGGCTGCTCCCTATTCATGAAGTCGTTTTAGACGTGGACATTCGTTTTGGTGTGCTCAAACAACCATCAAAAGGCATCTTGGCTTCAACCAAATCTGTGGTCGACAATTACATTCTTTTAAACAACTACAACAATTACATAACATACAGATATATCAGAAAAAAAAATTGCATCTCTAAGAATTTTCATTGTCCATGAAATATTCCTTTAATTTTCTTTTAAATATCTTTAAATTACAAGTAGTCTTTATATCATTATTTTATTAAATTCCAGTAATCCTTTCTGAAATATTGATATTTGCTAGTTATGTTACTATTGCAATTTTGTAAATGAAAATCTATATTTCCTCTTGTATAATAATTGTGGTACTGATTGTTGAATTCTAGGTAATGTTCTAAATGCTCTGGCAAAAGTTGATTTTTTATTTTAAATATAAAAATAAGAACCAAATATGATATGAATTTTTTTATATTCAACCACTGCAATTCTTGTAACATAGATTTTATTTTGGTGTACTTATATTTATTCAATAATATTCTCATAGCTTTATTTTGCAAGACTTGTAATTTTGAGAATACAGCTTCATTGGCAGTGAACAAGATAGTTGAACAATATAGCAAATGCGGTAGAAGAATTGTATTATAAACTATTTTCTTGGAATAGGTACCAAGATTATGAGAAGCCCTATAAAAGTAATTTGTTATTGGCAATTTTTTCAATGTATTCATAGTGATCCTCAAACTTTAGTTTACTATCAATATATATATATATATATATAACATTTTCAATTATTTTTCCATTTATCCTAACTGTGATAGTATTTTCATTTAGGTATTTCCCTATTAGCATACATTTTGTTTTAGAAGTATTCAATTTTAGTTTATTTACATTTAACCAATTTACGATTTTTGCCAAGTCAGAATTTAGCATTTTTAAAGCAGTGTCTATATTTTCATCTGATATGTATATTAATCTATTATCTGCAAATATAACTTTAGAAACAGGAGTTATGGTAGAACAGTTCAGTTTTGTTGCAAGTTCGCCATATTTTAAACAGTAATTTATCAGGATTAATATTCTTGCTCCAATAATATCAAAACATTGATTAAGCACACTTTTAGACAAAATCTCACTCTTATTTGGATTTGATTTAATTTTTGATATAATCTTCTTGAGACGATTAATGTTTATTGTTCTAAACTAACTGAATGATGCATTATAATCTGAGCTAATGGGGCATTGGTTCGGATCCCCGTCAATAATTGATTTTACAATGTCGTTGACACTTTCTATGAAATAGGTATTCATTCGATCTGCTATTATTTCTTCATTTGTTATTACCCCATCGTCGAATTTCATTTTAGATAATGTACTTTTTCTAATAGGAGCAACAATGTTTTTCAACGTTTTCCTCATATGTTTGCTATTATTTCACTCTGATCAATTTTGGCATTGTAATATTTTTTCTTTTCATCTCGTAGAATTACTACATATTGGTTTCTTGATCTTGTGTATTCTAGTAAATCATTTTCACTTCCCGTAATCATAAACTTTTTATAATTGTAGTCTCTTTTTAATTTAGAATCCTGGAATGTCTGCGAGAACCAAGGTGTTGGATTTTTCCTTTTATAAATTGTTGTCTTGACTGTAGCTTCTTTTATGCAAACTTCAACATTATCCAATAGACTTGTATAGTAGCTATCAACATCAACAAACGCTTCAGTCATATCTTGCAGTAAAAGAGCTTCTCGTAATTTTACGTAGTTGATATTAGTAATTTCTTCCACTTTGTTAATATGAAGAAATACATATTAAAAAAGAATTCCGGCTTATATTTGATCCACCCTCGTATTTGTGGATAATGATCTTCCTTGTGGCACAGCTACATTTCTGAATTTCATTCAATTTCATCATTTGATAAATTAAAAGAGATTGTACATATGGTGAAGATATTCTGAATCCTAAAATTCTTAAACATACTTTGCACTCTGTTGGTCATGTAATACTGAATTTTATCAACACTTCACATGCTTATGGTGTTTGTTCAGATGCATTAAACGTAAGTACTGTTACGCCCATCCCTAAAGTGCCTAATTCTATAGAAGCAGACCTATAAACACTTTGCCGCTACTTGAAAACCTTTTGGAAACAGGTGCCCCCAAGCAAATTGCTGATTATTGCAATTAAATAATATTTCTATGGCTACGCAGTCAGGGTTCAGGAAAGAGCATTCATGTGAAACTGATTTTCAGATTAAATAAATAACTGAATGGATGAAACTTATTGATGATGATAATAACTATATTTATAATTGCAATAGATAGACAAATATTGATAAACAAGTTTAAACAATATGTTGTTGGTGGCACTGTTTTGAAATAGATAGTTAGTTATTTATCTGAAAGAAGCAAGAGGTGTAAGATCAGTTCTTCTATCTGTAAAAACATTTCTGTAGACCTCGGAGTTCCTCAGGGTAGTGTTCTTAGGCGGTTGTTTTTTATAATATGTTTAAATGATATGGAACTTTTTCATATGAGTATCTCCATGAATCTATTTGATAATGACACGTTGGTGTATTCAGCCTGCAAAAATCTGGATCAGGGTGTTGATATGGTAAACATACTACCATATCTAAAAATGCTAAAAAATCAAAAGCAATGATCATATCATGTAGAAAATACAGCCCTTGATATAGTTGACAACATAAAATATCTAGGATTGATGTCGGACAGAAACCTAAATTTTAGTAGCCATAGTGATTTCGTTATTAAGAAAATTCCAAAGAAACTTTATTTGTTCCCAGAATTTCTCAACAGATTTTGCAATAGTTCCCAGAATTACGGTTTATAATACAATAGTAGAGCCCCATTTTAGTTTCATCTTTATTGTATTTCTTCAGCAAGAATAAAATAAGCACACTACAAAAACTACAAGATAGGGAAATGCGGGTAATTTTGCATTGCAACAGATCCACAAGAATAGAAGACATGTTAAAATACTCTACAGTGGTTGTCTATAAGCCAGCACCTGTACTTGATGACCATGGCGTTTATATTCAAAATTGTAAAAGGAAATTCACATAAAATGGACTAAACTTCATCACCATCTAGACCCCCATCCCCCATGTCATCAAAAACGTCCGTGTACAGAGGCAAATTGCATACAAGGTCTGTCTCAAAGTAAACAGGACTGATGAAAGTTATCCTTATACAAGTAGCGCCATCTATTATCGGAAACTAGCGACGGTTAGGTACATCTTTCATTGATGTCCTGTCAAAATTTCATGACAATCGAACCACTTCAAGCGGAGTTATCGCGCTCAAAGTGACAGTACCTTTTTAGCAGCGGTTGAAAAATTAGCATCGAACAAAGAGCCAATATTCTATGTTAAAATTGGTAAAACATTTACCGAAACGCGTCAGATGTTGATGCAAGTGTATGGTGATGAAAAAGTGCGTGAATTTATCAGAAATGATCCAAAATCTTCATTGAGATACATAGAAATGGAATTAAATATATCTAAAGATTCAATCTATCGCATTTTGACCAAGAATTTGGGCATGAGAAAAGTGTGTTTACGATTTGTTTCGCACAAGCTCACGGAAGACCAAAAATTATTTCAATTTCAGCATTTGAGAGACATCATTAAAGAGGTCAAAAAAGACAAAAACTCTCTGTACAACATTATGACTAGTGACGAAACGTTGTGTTTCAATACGATCCCGAAACCAAGCGTCAACGTGCCGAATAGAAGCACCGAAGCGAGCCAAATCCGAAAAAAGCTGTTTGGGGAAGTCCAAAGTGACATTGTTGATTTGTTTCTACAATTGGAAGGGAATTCGTTAAAGAATTCGTTTCACCGGGCCAAACGGTTAATGATGTGTTTTACCTTGATGTTATAGGGCGTTTGTTGTCGGGTATTCGTCGTGTTCGGCCAGACTATCGCGAAGAAGGAAGCTGGCGCTAGTTGGACGATAATTTTTTGACAAAAAAATAGCATTTTAACTATCGACCACTCTCCATATTCTGCTGATATGGCTATTTTCGGTTCTGTAAACTATATTTGGCCATGAAAGGATAGCGGTATACCGACGTAGAGGACATCCCGGTTAATGAGCTAAAATCATAATTCGAAAATCTTTTGGTCCTTGCAAATCGCTGTATCATCTCTGAAGGAGACTATTTTGAATAAAATAGATTCGATTTTCAGCAACAAATTAATGTTTGTTCATTTTTTCTTTGTCATGTTTACTTTGCGACAGACGTTGTATGAAGGTGTTAGGGAGATCGATGTGATGCCGGTAATTTTAGGTTGATTCACAAAAATCGATGAAAAGACCCATACAAAATGCATATTTCAATACGGGTTACTATAATATTTTGCCATGTTCACAGTGCTAACAACTTTGAAGAACCTGACGTTCGGCCTGACGACGGAACGGGAGCGTCTGAAAAATGCGTTGGAAGTGGAGGCGCAGGCGCCTGCCAATGTTAGTAACCAAAACCTACTCACATTAAAGAATAATCTCAATCAAGTTCTCCAACAGAATTCGGATCTGCGCAACAGGCTGGTCAGGATCCACGAGACGTCCGATTTGGAGGATCTGTCGTCGTTGGACCATCTGTCAGAGAACGTAAGTCAACTGTCATTGTTTGAGTGAAGTTTCATGAGTGTAGTTGTGGTTTATGATGAATAGCAGCTTTTGGAATTTTGCTTTTGGGGAAGGCGAAAGGTGAAATTGTATGCTGAAAGGTTGCTGAAAACAAAAATTCCTCTGTTAGCCATTTGATGCGCGAAATGCCAGTGATGTGGTAGTTGAAAATCCACACCAATATCATGAACAACCTCTCCATCCTGAAAAACTGGGCTGGTGGCATCGTTGGACCATTCTTCTTTGAAGATGCCGAAGAAAAGGCCATTACCGTCAACGTTATCGCGGCATGTTAACAGACTTTTTGTGGCCACAATTGGATCTTATTGGTGCCGACGATCTGTGGTTTCATCAAGACGGAGCAACGGCTCACACATATCGCCACCTTATTGCACACGAAATTTCAAGACCGCATAATTTCACGAAATTCAGATGTCAGTTGGCCCCCGAGATCTTGCGATTTAACACCTCTTGAATATTTTCTTTGGGGATTTTTGAAAGTAAAAGTGTATGTGAATGGTCCCCGGACAATTTAAGACCTAAAGCGCAATATTCGGACTGAAATTGCGGCCATAGACCCGATTATTCTGGGAAAAGTCATTGAAAATTTTGATTTTCGGATGTTGGCCTGTAAACGAAGCCGCGGTGGTCACATAACTGATGTTATTTTTCATACATAAATGGCATAAAATAACCTTCATTTATCAATAAAAAAATTCGATTTCACGTCGTAACAAGCGTGTTGATTTTTCAAATAGAAAAAAAAAGTAACAGATGATGCACCCTGTACGTACCACAGCCTTTTTAAGTACTTTTATTTATATTTTTTAATTTCAATGAAAGACAAGCCGAAAATTGTTATAAAAATATCTAGTTGCCAAGAGTTGACAGGTCCCGAATAATTATTGTCACTAGGCGTTGCTGCGATTGCTCACACAGCGAATACTTTACCTTGACAAAATCATTCGTTCATATGTATTTTAGACGTTATATGACATGTACATCACGAAAAACCATTTCCGTCGGTCTGTCTCTCTGTCGATCTGTCCGCTAATACTTGGGAAGTGCCGCTCGGATTTCGATGAAATTTTCACACAATCTTACTAACTACTATGCCAAGGACGTAAAAGTTTTTGAAAATCGGTCCAGTGGCGGTTGAGGCAAAGGGCAAAAACAAAAAAATATAAATCGCTTCTTTGTTTAACGTTTGACATTGTATTGTATCCAAACGCCACTAAATAAGTAATTCACACATATCTAGTTTCATTTTGGCCAGGCATCCATGGAATATTGTGTTTGAAAGTTGGAGGGCTAACTTCTATAAAAAAGAAAAAATTTTTAGGATGTACTTTCTGGGGCAAAAATTTTGATATTCCGTCTAAATCAAAATATCGAAAAATGCTCCGTGGTATCGTATCTAATTTTGAGTCAAAATTGCAACCTTTTACAAAATCCCATTTTTGTAATTTCGCATTACTCTTGCGGAAAGTCTAAATACTTGGAGATTAAATGCACTAGTCGGAAGAGGAGAAAAAATAGCAAACTTTATCATAATAAATCGGCCCAAACTCCTTTAAAGCAAACCGTTTTTCAACATTCATACCATGAAATTCAAACGCTCAGAATTATCTGACATCCAAAAACTATTGAGCAGGAATGGAATAGAAAAACCTATTTACTTATTCCAGAAGAGTATGCGTCGGATAAAAAATGTAGAACATTCACGTCGTGTTTTCGTCGGCATGTCAAGAACTATAGGCCAATTTTTTGTGGTACCTCTGCGTTCGACAGTCAGAGACCGTCTACCACATACGGACAATCACATCATCCATAGCCAAGAGAAACATTTCTCTTGGGACGGGATTCGAACCCGCACAGCGCACGGCGACTGATCAGGAGACCGAAGAGTCTACTACTGCGGCCACCGCTGCTGCCTTTCCAGTGTATGTAGTTTTCCCAGTAAACATAATATCTTAGAAACGTGTTTCTTGTTAAATGTCCATTATCCATTATCAATGTAACATACCTAATTCAAATGTGGCTGATTTATTGCTATTTAAAATTATACAGTGTTTCAAGTCGTAGAGTCGAGATGACTGGCATAGCCAAAAATTGTTTATCCTATTTTATTTATCTGACTTGAAGTGTAGTCATGATCATTAGGAGCCATTTTGTTTGTAGCATCTTTGCACCAAGTACAAAATGGATCCATAGCATACAAATAACCACAACAAAATGCGGCTCTGTCTACTTGTTGTTAACGGATCCGTCGGAATTGTGTCTCACTTGTCGATATGGCGAATTTTGAAATAGTACTAGATGATCAGCTGTTATTCTACCATAATGGGCACTCGAGAAAAAAATTTAAACGATGGATCGTGATGAATCGCGGTTCCTTGGTTATGCCCTTGATTATTCTGATTCAGAACAGAGAGCGTAGAACAGGGTTGCTGTTTTGTGATATCAATACCGCACCCAATTACTTTTTAAATTCTGCAGAAAAAAGCAATGCATGAAACTACAGAAACTCAGTAGTTCTAAGCCTATTGACATCTGATATAATTTTTTCTCACAAAACAAGCACAAATGGCACAAAAGAATAAGAAAGAGTTCGTATTTGCTGTATAATATTCGAGGTAAAATAAATCTTAATTAAGACGATCACTCTAAGAAAACGAATGTCGAACTGCCGTAAATACAGTATGCAAATGCGCCATTTATATATCCTTACTCGTTTCGATCGAATCAGCGAGTGAACGCTTCCGCTTCAGACACCATGTCAAAATCCATTAAACTGTTTGGGCTGAACCCCGTGAATTAGACATTTTGTAGTTATTTCCCGGTATAAAATATGTGCTATTCCAGATTATAATCTATCTCTGTACCAAATTTCATCCACATCCGCTCAACGATTTTGACATGACTGACATATTCTAATTTATACTATTAGCAGAGATATCCTATGAACTTCGCCTTTCGTTTTCCTTCGCACCCCCAACACCAAACTAACCCGCTGCCTCCTCCCGCTTATAGCACCGCGCTGCAGGCGGTACCGGGACCGGCACGTACACAGCCGCCTCGCTCAGCTACAGCTCGTCCTGTGTCAGCGCCACCGAGTTCTTCGACGCCGAGGACCTGCCGGCCAATGAAAAGAAGCACCGGCCGCGTCACAACCACAAAAGGGCGGAGCCGACCGATGACGAAGGCGGCTATAGGCCGAACGCGGAGGAGGAGTCCGAGGTGCGCACGCGCAGCGAGAGCAGCTCGGAGGCGGGGTCGTTGAGCAGCGAGGCGGAGTTGGAGGAGGGGAGTATCAGCAGCGAATCGGAACTGGGGGCGGAGTTGGCGAATTCGGAGAGGGCTGAATTGGGAGGTGAGTTTGTTTGAGAAATTGGCGTATGCAGGTTTGTCAACTAACAGAGATTGCCTTGTGAATTCATCATCTGCAGAGTCAAGTATTGGCTAGACAAAACGCAGTCGATTATATTGAAGAAGCTTCAACCTGCTTCGGTTTTGCCGTGCCTGGGTTTGAGTATTGTAGGACCTTACCTAGAATATATTCAATTACGATTTTGATATAAAACGAAGAGTAATTAACTAATAAGTCAATAATTATACAAAAGTTCAGTCAAATGTGTAAATCACATATTTAAGGTACGTATCTAGATGCTGAGTTAGATGGATGGTGTACGTTTCGTTTCGGAGAATTTTATGAACGGTGAAAACAACCTACCAGATTTTTCTTGTATCATCATCTTGCCTCATTCAGAGGAAATGCTTGGTTTGAGACATATCGATTGTACCTGTAATATGTATATATCATGCAAATTCTTAATTCAGTTTCAGGAGTAAATAGTAGCTGTTTGCTGTCAAATGAATCCAGTGAGTCGAGTAAGTTTTGAGATTCAGTTCAAGGACGCGTTACCAAAAACTTCTTACTGTAAAGATAAAACCGAGGAACAGCTATGTATATTGCCAGGTTTTCCATAAATACTGGACTTTTGCAGCAAATTAATAGAAGTTCTCACACAACTACCGATTTTTTTGCATTTTAGTTTCTTTGAAGGCTTTATAACTGACTTGAAATTATACTTGGCAATCACAAATACTGCCTACGTAATCGATAGCCTTACTGTTATTTGACATGTAAGTAAATGTGTGTTTCTAATCTAGTTTCTGCAGAATACGGTTAAAGCGACTTTTTGCAACATATATTTAGCGATGGGCGCACACAATGCTTTCTGTGTGATAAATGTCAAGTAAGGTTAATGTTTACGTATATGTTATGATTGTCAAAAATCTCTACTGTCATGAAATCGATTAATAAGTTGTTAAAGGTGATTAACACCTTACTTGATTTTCTCTATTCTCAATGATTCTGACCACTGTCTCATCGCCTACATCTGAATTTTGAAACGGACCTAGACTATATACCTGCTATATAATTGCTTGTTATGCATACAAAATATCTTGTTTGCTTGTAGACACTAGTGGCCTGACAGGCAGGCGTACGGCCCTTCCTGTTCCTCGACCCCCGACGGAGGGCCTATCCTTATGGAATCTGCTCAGTAGAAACATTGGCAAAGACCTCTCTCAAATTAGTATGCCTGTCGCCCTCAACGAACCCTTGAACGTTTTGCAAAGGCTGTGTGAAGAACTCGAATACTCTGAACTGCTTGATAAGGTAAATATGTCTCAATATACAAAATCCTGAAAGGTGAAATAAACAATATAAGAGAGACAAAGACAACAAAGAATTTGCTATATTTCCAACCATACTGATATATGTATAATAATATTCACATCAAAAATGTTATTATATAATTGACTATTTCATGTGAAGTTTTTTTTTTGTTTTTCAGGCAGCTAGTATAGATGATCCGTATGAAAGAATGGTAGAAATAGCTGCATTTGCAGTTTCTGCATATGCCAGTACTCTCAGTCGTGCTGGAAATAAACCCTTTAACCCCTTATTAGGAGAAACTTACGAATGTATTAGGGAAGATAAAGGATTCCGATTCTTAGGTACATTTTGTATTCAATTTTTACTTTTTTACTCTTTTTTGCTCTTAAAAAAAAGTTAAAATCGTGGTTTGATTCCAGTCAGAAAATTCTAATAATTTGTTTTATACTTTTTTATTTCTAGCTGAACAAGTTTCTCACCATCCCCCTATAAGCGCTTGTTATGCAGAAAGTACGAACTTTACTTTTTGGCAAGATGCTAGAGTGAAGACTAAGTTTTGGGGTAAAAGTATGGAATTTCAGCCCCTAGGTAATGTGCACGTACTCTTGCCAAAGACTGGTGATCATTATGTGTGGAACAAGGTAAGAATTACGGACTCAAAAAGGTTATAGTCTCTATTGATTTTTATGCGTATGAAAGTTGGCACTACTGTTCTTTGATCGATTTACTCAAATAATGTTTTTTGTGTTTTTTTAGGTTACAACGTGCGTTCATAATTTATTCAGCGGTCAAAGATGGGTAGATCAGTATGGTGAATTGAGAATTACGAATGGTAGAATAACGTGTAAATTGACGTTCGCAAAAGCTAGTTACTGGTCGGCTAAAAGGCACGAGGTAAGTTAATTTATAAGCGTATGTTTAAATCTGAGCTCAAAACACTCATACTTGCTCACTTACAGCCAAATGACTGAAGGTAATTGAAAAGCAACACAAATAATTCTCCAGCAGACTCCTCTTTGCCGTTCACATTTCTTCCTTTTACTTTCTACGTAACTGACGAGAAAGTATTGAATTCGAATTTAATATATTATGTTTTTTTGTTGTATGCATGGAAAACCGTGTGCCTGTCTGTCTCCCCGCTAATCCTTGATTGACCTCTGTATACGTAGTCGTGCCATAAGTTCTGTCCCATGATAATCTCTTGATAAAAATGAAACAAGATATGATATATTTATATGAAAGATATTATTTATTCGACAACATTTTTAGAATTCATAATCAAACAGTTTTATTCAAAATGTCCCCCCTTGGCCTTCACACACTGCTTCAATCTCGCGGGCCACTCATCTATCACTGCACGCACAGCTTCCAAAGGAATAGCTGCCGCTGATCGGATCAAATCCGCTTTCAGGGACTCGATATTACGGTGGGCTTTGGAGCAGGCCAACTGCTCTAACAGGTCCCACAACTTGTAGTCTAAAGGATTGAGGTCCGGACTCCCTGAGGGCCAATCTTCCGCAGCAATGAACTCTGGCACATTGCTTTCCAGCCAGCGCTGCGTACTCTTAGCCTTGTGAGCGGGGGCGGAATCCTGCTGGTAGACCCAGTGTTGGTTGACAAACAATGTACCACTTAAAGGCTTGACGATAGGATCCAGTATGTCGCTCTGATAGTTTGCCGCTTTTGTTTTCACGCCCTGTTTACAGAAATGGAGCTGAGTGACCCCTCCGTAGGACACCCCCCACCAAACCCTGACTGACGCAGGGTGGTGGCCTCTCTCAACTCTCGGAATGATCTCCGAAGCTTCCTGTGAACTCCTTGCATACACTTTGTCATTTTGTCGGTTGCATTTTTCTTCTATGGTAAAGATTTTCTCATCCGTGAACAAAATCTTTCGGAATCCCCCAGCTGCGTACCTCTCCAAGAGCTTCTTGGATCTTGTCGCCCTGATGTGTCGCAAGGTGGCCGTAAGTCGCTGGACCGTACGTCTCCGGTAAGCCCCTAGCCCTAGGTCTTGTTTAATGATGCGCGACATCGTCCGGACAGGAATCTTCATTTCCCTGGATAGGATCTTCTGCTTCCGGAGTGGATTCCTTTGAATCCTGGCTTTTACGGCTTTGATGGCTGCTGGAGTCCTTACTTGACGAGGTCTTCCGCTTCTTGGCCTGTCATCAACAGAGGACGTCTCATTGTACCGCTGAATGGTCCTAGACACAAATTTACGCGATATTTGAAGGCCGCGTAAGAGTTCAAAAATCTGACTAGCACTGTGATTACACTTATGTAAAGCTATCACTGCAATACGGTTCTCTGCCTTGCCCCACTCCATCGTTATGCTTCGAGAGATCAATACAAACTGAGGTATATGTAATTACCCGAAAAGCGCTTAATCAACTGACACCACAACGTAAACAATCGGACAAGTATTAACAGGTCTACACTTGTTTGAAAACGAGGGACAGAACTTATGGCATGACTATGTAATTTGTAAATGTAAGGTTACTACTACTAAAAAGCGTTGCAGTTTTTGAAAATCGGTCTACTGACTTGTTCTCTGCTTTCCAAAAATTATTTCTGCCAACAAATAACTTGATACAAAATGTTGCCCATAGACCTGTTCGAACTTTTTAAAGGTTACGCTTAAGCCTAACACAAAATGTAATGACACAATGTTGCTTCAAATTCTGCTGTTTCATTTTGCTTCTCGCACAGCCAAAACACAACTTCACTGTTAGCAGTCCGAAAAATCATGTGGTTACGGCATGGAGTTGAAACTCGCACTGAGCGATGGGAGGAGACTGACACACGTGCTATATAAGGAACAACAGCTCAGCGTCGCCAGAATGTCTGCACTCTGAATACTTTTCTGACACCTGTTAGTAGCCAAATGGTTAAAGTGACAGGCAACAGTATCCCATGTATGGGTACTAATTTAATGGGCCTATATGATCGACTTGATTCATTCAATTCCATTGTTTTACAACTTCCTAATTAACATTTTTCTAAGGGGAGTCAACTTGCGTCGTAAATGATCTTTTTTGAACTGATCATAACGCGTAGCTTAGGAAATGCTGTCTTAACCTACTTGACGCTATTTCTTTCCTTCGTCTCTGTTTCGCCATTTTTACGCATATTAAATAGCTACAAAATCGTCGCAACAGTTCTTGTCAAGACGGATATATTGACCATCAAACATCGAATGTTTCAAAATTCTTTTTCAGGTTGTCGGTGCAGTATACGACGAGAACGGCCAACCTGTCCGCAGGTTATTCGGCAAATGGTCTGAATCTCTGTACTGCGGCGTGGCACCCTCTGCCAGGTGCATATGGCGGGCCGGTACTCTGCCTCCTAACCACGAACGGTACTACGGGTTCACCAGGTTCGCCATTGAGTTGAACGAACTGGGACCTGACCAGCAGTTGCTGCCTCCGACAGATACTAGGCTTAGGCCGGATCAGAGGGCACTCGAAGAAGGTAAGAAAGTGTTTATGGTAAACTGAGTTTCATCATTACAAAATTATTAATATCACTTAATGAACCCGCACCAGTATTGTGTAAAATAATCGCTATGAGAGCGACTTGATCGCGGTACTTCCCACTTGTGTACTGCCTAGTCGCTAGCCCCCGCTACGCGTACTTGTTGTAAATGCCACCTATGGAGGAATGACACAACGACCTATAATATAGAACTTACAGCTTGGGACATAGAAGCTATGAATTTCCTCTGCTAGTGCTATCTCTGAAGCAAAGCCACAGCAAATAGCTCAAGTGTCTTGACGTTTAGGCAACACACACAGCTACTACAAGTGAACATGAACTGAATGATAGCTAGTTTCAAAGTGATAATAATGGCGCACTAATAGGTGCTGGTTAGCTCCGTATTTGCATCTTTATTTTCTTCTTATGAAAAGCGGCAGATATGCAATAATTTTGTAGGTGGTAGTTGTAGTGTGTTGTTGACCATTTTTTCGCGAGATCCCGTAGTGAACCGAAACGGGAACAGATAGAATTTCCCCTTCTTCTCGAAGTTTTGACAGATTCAAGTTATCTTGGGAGTGGTTAGATGGCGCATGTTGCCCAAAATGTTTGCTTTAAGCTCCTTGATAAACTTAGCTTCCTTGTTTGAATCTGAAATAAAAAGACCCATCGTTTTTTGAACAATGTACATATATACCAATAAAATCAATCATTTGATATGACAAGTGCGGTTCATATTTCTTCGATGACCTTCTCCCTCGTCATTTAAAATCAGGTGGACGTGTTCCTCCATTTATGATTTAATAATTTAACTCAATTTTCAGCACTGCGAAGATACATTTTCAATTGAGATGCCTGTTTTTTAAATGACATTGAAATAAGACCTGTCATCCGCTAGTACCTCACAGACGTTAGGCGGGTTACCCGTACCACGTGATTTTTTGACATTCGGACGACGTCACATCCGTCTTCCCCTATTCCCGTTCTTCGCGAAAATTTGAGCATCGGTTGCCGGTAGTGCACTGTGCTACACCGTGGACTCGCGAAAAAATCCTTTAGATAATGAGACTGACTTTTTACAGGGTGTTTCCAAAACATAGGGCAAAAATTCACCAGAATATGTGGTTAATTCATATAGAACGTAAAATTAATGTGACAAATTATGATAAATTCCCTACAGACGAAACTGGAAAATCTTTTTATTAGGACATTTTCAAACGACACTGTATAATTTATAGAATTTTTTGCCTTGCATGCAATATTGCGTCTTCAAGATCCTGTATAATAATTGATAATCTTTTTTGGAAAGTTCAATGTTATAGATGGTAGTGTGTTGTTGACTGAATACAACAATAGTTTTTTAACTGCGGCATGGTGGAGGAAAAATGGCAGTGAATGGAAGAATTCTTGACAATTTTAAAATTGCTTGATTATAAGACTAACTTTTTTTACATGGCGTTTCAAAAATATACAGCAAAGATTCACTACCCTGTATTAAACTAATGAAACTGCATGATAAGTTCGCCGGAAATCCTCATAATGCGATTTATTTGCCAATGCAATCACCTAAAAACTTTCTAACTTTATATTTCGTGATGTTACTATCGAATAAATACTGTTCTGTTATACATAATATTCTAGAATATGTGGTCAATTTATATAGAACACAAAAATAATGTGATAGATGTTTTTACTAAAACAACTTCCGCACGACACTATATAATTGAACGAATTTTTTAGCTTACGTGCACTATTGCTCGTTTAGTATCGTGTGTAATAATTGAAAATATTTTTGGAACGCTTGGCGGAAACAAACGTACTTTTATTTGACATCGATAAAACCAGCAGGTTGGGTAGAACAGTATTGTTTTCATAGTATTTCCATCGACGGAAATACTAAGTATAGGAAACAGTGCTAGTGCAGAATTAATTTTCCAACAGTGCGAGGTATTTACGCTTGACTAGTATCATAATTTGAAGTACTAAAAAAAGGTTGTTTGTTTCTTAAAAGCATGTGAATATTATCGATGTCAAACAAAAGTAGATTTTTCCAAAAATAGCACATCACTGTGCTGTTATCATAAGAGTGAAAGGATAATACACATAATCAATATTTACTGTGATCCGTTAGTGTTCATCATGTAATGTGATATTTTATGCACCGCGTAGTCTGGACGTCAGTAACTATTGATGTTTTCTTTGTTGGAATGAACCTTATTTTTCAGGATCCACATAGAAAGACGTGTAGGATTTTATGTCCGATCATCTTGAAAAGAACATTGAAACGTAATTTCTCTAGCTGTTTGATACATTGTTCTGTCCTGTTCGAGCTACATACCTTGCAGATTCAGTTGTCTAATTTTTGTCAATGGTGATATTGCGTACCTGCACCAGTATCAGACGTTATCATTACCGCTTCCAACCGCATGCTTTCGTGGCGGCCTCTTTCCGGGCTCCTTCTGCCTCTTCTGCTCTTGAATTACCTATTAACGATTTACCGTTCACATAGCAAATTGTTTCGTTCAATTGACACAGCCATCCACAGCCGCGAAATAGTTTTTGGTGTTGTAAAGCTATAATATCACCCTTGTTCCACACAATCCTTACATGAACTAAATCACATCAAAGCAGGACACAAAATCATGTCTATCACTGACACCCCACCCTGTAGGAATTTGTCATGTCCCATTATTTTGTGTTTCATCTCTATTCGACATTGTTAAGGCGGTCCGTAGGACCTTGGCCGTGTGTCAAAGTACACCAGTCAGATTGTTATTCTGTCGTCTTGGTCTCCCAGAAACCAGACATAGAGAGGTATAGAAGGCGTCTGAGCATTGTTAAAAATTCCTGTAATAATTTTGAATGACGAAAAAGCATGTTGTTTGAGTTCTGTTAAAATATTATTTCATTTTATACCAAATTGCACGATTCAGTTTTGTTCAGTATGAGCCGCGGCCTGGAATGTTTGCAAACTTGCTCCACTGTGTAGTCTAGTGACTCGCAAAACAAAGGGCATAATGTCTCTCCTTGGTCTCTGTGTAGAGTCTCGTTTGTTTATGGATCATAGGCTCCTGTTTTGCAATGTGTTTTATAATGGGTGATTTTTTGCTAGTATCTTTTTGGCAACACTGTTTTTGACAGATGACGCGTGAATCGTGTCTTGTGTCATTGTCAAACTTGTTCAGTTTGGTCTATAATTTAACCATGAATCGACTTACGAATGAACAACGCTTGCAAATTATTGAATTTTACTATCAAAATTCATGCTCGGTTAAGAGAGTGCATCGAGCACTGCTTCCAATTTATGGGCAATTTGGTCGGCCTACTGAGGGAGCTATTCGGAAGCTTGTGACTAAATTTCGAACCCAGTTTACATTATTGGACATTAAACCACCAACACGCAGACGTAGAGTGAGGACTGAAGAAAATATTGCGGCTGTATCCGCCAGTGTTAGTGATGACCGTGAAATGTCAATTCGCCGCCGTTCGCAGCAATTGGGCCTCTGTTACTCCACTACGTAGAAAATTTTGCGACAGGATTTGGGTGTAAAACCTTATAAGATACAGCTGGTGCAAGAATTGAAGCCACACGACCTCCCACGACGTTTCCAATTTGGTGAATGGGCGCTGTCAAAGTTGGAGGAAGATCCACATTTTTATCGAAAAATTGTGTTCAGCGACTAAGCTCATTTCTGGTTGAATGGGTACGTTAACAAGCAAAATTGTCGCATCTGGAGTGAAGACCAGCCAGAAGCATTGCAAGAGCTACCAAAGCATCCCGAAAAAATCACTGTTTGGTGTGGATTATGGGCCGGTGGCATCATCGGGCCGTACTTCTTCAAAGACGACAATGGCCGGAACGTAACTGTGAATGGCGAGCGCTACAGTGCGATGATAACAAACTTTTTTTGCCCAAAATGGAAGAGCTGGACTTGGCTGACATGTGGTTTCAACAAGACGGTGCCACATGCCACATCGCACACGAAGCAATGGCCCTATTGAGAGGCGAGTTCGGTGAACAGTTTATCTCACGTTTGGGGCCCGTCAATTGGCCGCCTAGATCGTGTAATTTAACGCCGTTGGACTATTTCTTGTGGGGCCATGTTAAGGCTAATGTTTACAGGGATGAACCAGCAACGATTGACGCACTGGAAGCCAATATTGAAGCATTTATTCGTGAGATACCGGCCGATATGTTGGAGAGAGTGTGGCAAAATTGGACCTTGGGCATGGGCTATCTAAAGCGGAGCCGCGGCCAACATTTACATGAAATAATCTTTAAACATTAAATAATATCAACCGTTCTATCGACTCAAATAAAGATTTAATAGTTTTTCAAATTTTTTGTGTTTTTTTTGAAAATCAAATCCTATACCTCTTAAAAAATCACCTGTTATTAATCCTATAGATTGATGACATATTCTGGAACATCCTGAATATCTTTTCAACCTTTTGTACTTGTCAATAGGTGACCTAAACACCGCCGAAACTCTGAAACTCCAACTGGAAAGCATGCAACGAGAGAGGCGGAAACGGCGGGAAGAATTGAAGATTACGTACCAGCCGCGATGGTTCTCGAGTACGGCGGACGAAACGTGGGAATACAACGGGAAGTACTGGGAAACGCGCAGGAATTCCGGTTTCGCCAATTTGCAGTTCGAGTCGCTGTGGTGATGCGAGAGGAAGGGCTCCAGGCAGAGGAGTCGCAGGGTGAGGATAATGGTGCAGGCACATTAAGGTACAGATCCGTACGTAATGGTACTTGGTTCAAGTAGCAATGCTTCCGATACAGGCGGTTGAAAGTTAGTATGTATTTCCACGTGTCGAAACGCGCAATTGCTGTTCGCATGAGACGCGTTTCGACGCGCGCTTACAAGTTCTGGAGAGCTTTTTTAATGTCACAAGCGTCAGAGTGTCGCCACATACCGAATTTTCGGTATTTCTACCGAAATGAGACCCTGTTTACCGAAATTCCGAAAACGTCCTCATTTTCGACGATTTTCTTAAATAACTCAGATATATGCAGATTTTTGACCGAAAAACAGCTGGAACCAAAAATAAAGCTTAAAAATTAATTCTATGTAGTCTGTGCCCCATGCCAGTCATACAAAAGCGAACTCATTGGCGGTCGGGTACACGAGGGACGTAGATTTGGGTTGCCTACAATTGTGTACCCACACCCCTTATTCTGCTCTTCCTATAGTGGTTTTTGGGTACAACAGGTACAGACTGATAGATCACCGTCATTATCGCATCACCATACAGCAATAAGGAAACCAAAGTGAATATTAAATTAAAACGTCAGGTGATAAGGCTTCAAATTTAGGAATGAAACAGAAAAATAAACAAGAGTGGCAAAAGTAGTTCCAGTGATCGCTGCAAAGGAGTTTGAAGAGCGACCAGTATTCCTTATACAAGTTGTAATAAAGAACTTCAGATTTTTTTAGGAACAGGTGCCGTCAAAAAAAAACTGCTGTTGTGTATGTGTGCAATACAAAAATATACTTTTTCATAGGGGGCGCTGCATAACGCACAGTTCCTTGACCCGGCACAGATTTTTTTTATCCTACCGATTTTGTTCTTGAATCTACCGAATTTCAACGACACTGTCTACCGATTTTTTTTTTCGGTTTGGCAACCCCTGCGTCACCCAAATTGTCGCGCTGAAAAGATGTAAATTGTTCCACCTACATCAATTTAATACTAATCGCGCGTTTTTATGTAACACGACGATTTCATGTTCCTATCTACCGGCAATTATAGGGAACGAAAAGTAAATTATAATTGAATTCTCTACTACCTATTACAATATTTTTGCACGGTGGTTGCTATGAAAGCTGATATTGCGAAAGTGGGGGATTTTTTCGAAACAAAAATAATCACGAAACGTTAATACTAAGCGGGTGATTTTTGGGTCTATTTTAAGAAGAAAACTTTGTATGAACGTATATCCTAGGTGTCGTAACTTTTGAGATACATGGTGGTAAAGTCTTAAGAACTAAATAATTGGTTATTAACAGCTGTAAATGCCACTTCAGATATTTTAACGAAATTTAACATGCATGTACAAGACCCATTTTTCAATTGACTCTTTTGGCAGATGTTGTTTGTACGCCGGTGATTATTTTTAAAATAAAAAATATTCTGGAAATTCCCAATTATATCTATGCACATTGGATTTCGTGATTTTTTAAATCCGATACACGGTCTTCGCTTAAAAAAATAAAAAGCGCGCAGACAAATAGTAATTATTTAGGTGATCGTGCTTTGGAGTAAAAAAATTAAAGAGATCAAATCTGCTCATCATAGATGAATACCGATATAATTTTTTTAAAGAAAGTCAGTGCTGTGTCACGACTTTCTATATTAGAAACTTTACCACCATATATATCAAAAGTTAAGAAGTTTAGGTCATACGTTCATATGAAGTTATCTTCGTAAAATGGACCCAAAAATCGCCCTTTCAATATTGACATTCAATTAGGAAACACCCAATATATTGTGAATGTTTTTTTCTTTTCTCTGTAAACGAAATTGGCGTAATAAATTTTTCACAGCCTATGCTTAGAATGTGAACCTATTTTCGGTATGGTCAAATAAGTAGCAAAGTTGAGAACACGAAACAACATTGAGGCTGCCATTTGACGCTTGTGATTGGCTTGTCGATACGGCATATTACACCTTTCAGAAACTAGTTATGTTTGTGTTTTAAAGAGAAGAAAAGGATCGTTTTTTATGTGAATGGAGCAAAATACACACCATCACATGGTAACACTATGCGGGGTAATTCAGAAAATAATAGCAACGCTTATAGTAGTAGAGGTTACCTCCAAAAGAAGTTCCTATAAAAATATGTCCTAAGCTGCCCCATTACCAAGATACACGGTGTTGTAATTTTTTATGCCACTGATGATACTGAATAAGGACAACATATGAAAATTGTTCAGATAATGCTATGGCAATATATCTTCTTAATGCACTTGATACAATTTTCAATGTTAAACTTCACTAATCCAAACGTATTTTCAAACAAGAACACTTTGGAGTTTTTTGTCTCAAATATTTTTAAGCAATTTTACCTGAAAAGTCTTAAGAGAGGCATTTCCTGTAAAATTGATTACCTAATTCAAAAATGCAATAAATGTTTCAAAAAAGTCAGCGGCGTAGTAAATAGTTTTGGTTTTTCTTCTGTGAGGGTCAAAACTTCCCAATTTCCATGCTACTGGTATAGTGCAGGCACGATAACCTTTGTAGGCATTCACTATGCTGTTAGTACTTAATCCCCTCCAAAGATGTTTTTTTTCGATTTTGAGATTATATCATCACCCTGTATCTCGATATGGGGGCATTTTGGGACCCACAAGAATTTTTTGTTTATTTTTTATGCCCTCAAATAGTGCCACTTTTCTGAATCACACTTTATTTGGATATAGATCCTAATATTGAAACAACAAACTTTGGAACAAAACTATTCTCTAATGTGCTATTACGTGAAAACGGGTCTGTATCATGAAAATCAGTGAAACATTGTTCTTAGGAGTTGAGATATTTGATCATACCAACGTATGTGTATTCTAACCAATAGTCTTGCTTAAAATTCATTCTTGTATATGAAGAATTTTTTTAAAGCTTGTCCGCACCCCATCATTACAAATCTCGACTGCTAAGTTCTTAGGTTTCACATTTTTCGACATGAGGTGTCCTGTACCATTAATATTGATAGAAAGAGACATACTATCTAGAATATTATCGAGCATGAAGTAAGGATATGACGATGCTCTAAGGATATTAGGATTGTGGGTTCACAAGTACAAATAATGTTTGCAAAGGCATCGAATCTGTAACACCAAACGAGTGATATAATCTATCATATATATTCTAAATAGGTAATTATAGTTTCATATTTGCTATGAAATCTAAGTAAAACACCTTGTTTAGTGTGGTGATCAGATTTTTACAGCTCTGTGAGTTTTGAGCCACAGTTAATATCATTGTACTTGTTCACTCATGTCATTGCGTATTCAGCTATATAAGATAATCAACTCTTTGTGCATTGTCAATTAGCGGTTTAAAGTCTGATCCTAGAATTGGATAGAAGTACGTATTTATATGTCGACGATACTGACATTTATTGGGTGCTAAACATTCTCTTAATTAGATCTACCCTATTTTTACATGATTTAAGCTGTATACTTACCATATACGAGTTTTTGTCATGCAGGTATGTTGATTGCTCTCAAATAAGGTGGAAACGGTTTCATCGATTCTATTGCTATGTCATGGTTACGGAGTGTTGCTTTTGCTTATATTCTACTACAATGTCCTGCTTACAGAAGGATGCTTTGATTTTCCAATTGGAAGCAAGTAAGGTATTCAACATGCAAGTAGCTGTAGTATAATTTCGATGTTCTAGTTTTTCCTACTTTCATGGAACTATAAGAAATGAGAAAGTTTATTCATCTGAAAATCAAAAGCAACACAACCATTTTTTAGCGTATTTGAAATTGGTCATTTTCTAGATTCTATGGAAATATGTACTAACTTACACCAAGTCTGGCCACACATCTTATCATGAGAAAAAAAACCAAATTGCTGAGTATGCAGCTTAAAAAGTGCACCTTGCTTAAACGTAGATCGTTGTTACCCTGAATTGATAAACAAGAAAAATGGTGATTTGTAAATTTTTTATAGATGTAAGTACATTTTAAATGGTTCCACGCAGGTTTTTATATGTGAATCAACTGTTTGCTTTAAGCTTTATGTACATTTCGCGATTTTAGATGCGTAACGTTATTTAAAGAGATAAAAAATAATGCGGGTATATGTACATTTGTGCTTATTTATTTAGTAATTATTTCAAATATGGACTGTTGACATTCCTAGAACGATACATTTTTTATTGTATTCAGAGATGCGAGAAATGATTTTTAAATATATTCATTTATATTATCGAGGATTTATTTTCTTTTTTCCTTTAGCATGTCATTTCAAAGCTGCGAGCAATCAGTTTATTGTATAAGCTTTTCAATTTACTGTATAAACTTAAAAATAAACGATTTGTAAATATATTTGTTAATTATGCAGTTTGATTGATCAGCAATTGAAAATGAGGAATCTGCTTGGAAAGCCTTAAGCATCATATTTTATTTATCATTTATCTTGAGAAGCTGGAAGAATGTTGTACTTTGTTGGTTTCACTCCACCCGGATGTCAGTTTATCTCACTTCGTTCGCCATTATCCTGATCTAAAGACCTAACAATTCGCCTCCGAATCATTTTTTATCTCTTCAAATATTATCGCTACATTTTTATGGATGCGATACATGCGTCATCCAACCGCTATTCAATGTATAATGGTGCGGACATAGAGAAAGCAAGTTGAGTGGTAAAATATAAAAAAAGCTATATTTTGTGAGGCTGGTCACATGTTTAGAACCAATACAAGGCAGCAACAAAGCAGCAGGTTACTTATACAGTCCCCCCTTCCTCCCTCCCTACTTATTTTTTTTAACGGGTCAGGTCAATAAGCTGAAATATTCAGGATAATGAAATTGATATATGGACACTATATTTTGGCAGTTAGAAATTCTGAGATGGTGGCTGGGTGCTATATTGAAACATTTTTAAATAAAATGAGGGGCCATGTAATTCTTCATTTTGAAGCTTTACATATTATATTTTATAACCGCTTTCAAAATGGGGAACTGATAGACTGTCAAAGGTGAGTGTTTTTTTCTTAGAATGTATCCGAATTATGTAGCGTTCCATGTTACAAAAGTTGTCCATAACTGTCAGTTTTTACGAAATATCTGCAGAGGAATGGTGCATCAAGAAATCCAAGTTACCTGAAACCAATATCAACATGACGACCACCAGAGAGGAGAGAAGCTGGATAAGAGACGAAGAAGTTGAGGTCGAATGGAAGGACGCCAGCACGTACCTTGGGGTCAAGATGGACCAAAAGCTCACATGGAAGAAGCACATCGAGTGCCAGGTGCAGAAAGTGAAGATTGCACGCTTAAGATTAAGACCTTTAATAGGCAGAAGAAATAAATTATCCCTAAAGAATAAGACCATCATGATTCACATGGTGCTGCTCCTAATTATGACATACGCAGCAGTCTCTTGTGGCTACGCGGCCAAAACGTGGAGGAAGAGGGTTCAAGCTCAACAAAATATAGCACTCCGAGATGCGGTCGTCGCACCGCGGTACGTACCTAACTGAGTGCTATATGATGAACTCAGACAGGTACCGGTCGTAATCCAGATGAGACAGAGGGCGCGAAAGTTCTTCGAAAAGATCGAAAGACATCGAAATCAGCTGACCAAAGATTCCGTGGATTACGACACAAGGACAATAAGGCGAAATAAAAGATCGAAAAGCCAGCTGCGACAAGAAGACAGTTGACCCTACCAGCTGATGAGGCCAAAGAAAAGGGGAGAAGACCGACAATAGTTGTCACAAGCCCGTCGATTGAGGTGGCCAGAGTCAAGCACGGTCTCGAGGCTAACCTCAGGAGACGAAGACAAACTGATAACTAACTGACTGACGACTGACTGACTCTAGTCGACGTTGAAAGAGCAAAAGCAAAACTTTTATGCGGGGCTTGGCTCAAAGCCCCCAGCGAAGGACCCCCAAGAAAGAGGCCGTCAATGAAAGTCGATAATCGACAGTTGGAAGATATATATATATATAGCCTTTTGATGTTAAGTTGTTGTGTTATAAGCAATATAACGTACAAAAACGCACCGATTCTGTTTTCAGCCTGTCAGTTCGCCGTTTTGAAAGGTCTTGAATTCATATTCGACGATTAGAAAGTATTTATAAGAACCATCAAGATAAGTTGTCACGTGATTCCTGGTTCCATTTAAAAAGTGTTTCAGATGGCGCCTCGCCATCTTGGAATTTCCGACTGCTATTTTTACGCTATATCTATATATCAATTTCATAACCCGAATTTCAGCATTATAACTTTAGCCTTTAGAAAAATAATTTAAGAGGGCTTTTCTGTAAAGCACTGTATATAAATATACTAAATTTGCTTTCTTTAAATTCTCACCTAACACGGTATAGACCGGCTATCTAGTTAGTCAAAATATAAAAAATAGCCATTTAAGCATCCTAAAGTACTGAAAGGAGTAGTTAAAGAATAGATTGTAAAAGGGATTGGAGATAATCTCTAAATGTTTAGAAGTTACTATTATTTTTACGAATATATCTGTATATATTGAAATGATAAATTATTTAAACGTCAAATTAATGCGTGCAATATTATTTTTAGCTATTATTTCAAAAGTAATCTCGTAATGATGTGGATTTAACACAATATTGACGTAAGATCAGAAATTATATTGACGTGAACAGATTCCTGTCTAGTCACTAAAAGAAACTGCGAGAAAATATAGTTGTTATAACTGTTGAGAGGTTTATAAATTTTTATTGAATCACGTACTTTTTGTGCACCTTATGAAGTTCATGCGGCAAAGCATTAAAAGCACTTGCAGACTTATCTTGAAAAGTTCTGTATTTTTTATGTATCCATTTCGCTTTGACACCGTCTATTGTGAACAACTGATTAGCAAGTGACATCTTTGTATTAAAGGCTGCAGTGTTGGCAATCATGAATGGGGTGTATCGGGTAAAACTCGGAGGCACTATTGATTCCAAACATAGTCAAAAATATTTGTCTTGTTTTATTCCTTCCTGAAATGAAATATAGTCATGACTTTCTAAATAAAAGCGTTGCTTTGAAGTATGAATCTGTAGCGTACAAAATACAAACATACGAGTCTGCTTACAGATCCGTCTGAATTGTGTCACTTGTCGATATGGGGTATTTTGACAGCTTATTTGCTGTGACGTTTGACGGAATGGATACTCATGAAAAAAAACGTAATGTTGCAAATTTTTTCAGTATATATACCGGGTGTAACAATAGCAACAATACAGCCGTATTTTTCCAGGTAAGGTATTTTTGAAAAAATGCAATAACAGGTCTATGCTATTTTGAACAAATAAATCGGTGATCTTGAATTTGACCTTGATTCTCTCCTTCAAAGTAAACTTTTGTCTTTTAAATGGAAAGCCCCTTTTTTGACTCCACCGCCAAAAGAATAGAAAATTCCTCGTGCAGTACAGTACATAAAAACGTAAAATTTTCCATTGTCGCTCTCAGAGGGCGATTCTTGATTAAAAAAAAAAAGTTGACCGGGAAGCTTCTAGGAATTTTCCCAAGCGTCACATCTTTAACTTTCATTTGAACTTTAAATGTGATCTTGATCTTATACTCTTTCGACAGCCAGTTTTTATTTGAAAAACAAAAGTTATCCATGCAATAACTGAAGGTGAGGCTCAAGGACACCGTTGAACTCGTTGCTCAAAGTTAGTATAGGCCAGATCTTTACATTTTTCAAAAATATTGAGCAAGCCGCTCCATTACTGTTACACCTGGTATAATCATTGACAAAGGAAATAGAACATCCAATAAAAATAATGTCATTCGAACGAAATTTTATACAGGGTGTCCCAGAAATAATACGCCAGAGTGGCACGGGAGGTAGATTGGCTTCACATGAATCAGATAAAATCAACATGACCTTAGTAAACGTTTTATAGTTTTCGAGATATTGTCACTTTTAGGTTTGTTCAAAAAATCACTACTTTTTGCTCCTTTTGTGCCTGTTATTGCTATCAAGAATTTCTAACTTATAAGTTTTTTCCTGCGCTACCATTAATAGTTGGTTGAAACAACCGAGTATTCATTTCCTTGAAAGCTAACACCGTGTGCTAAAAAAATGACTACATTTTGTTTCAATGTGAAAACCTTTACTAAAGTTTCACTAATTACTGTGCAACCGCAAGCGCAGGGTTAATTTAGTACTGCTCCTTGTGTTAGTACTACCCACGTGTTATTTAGCTCTTTCGCTGTTTAGGTCGTTTCATTCCCTAGTGATTTGGATACAAAAGACTGCTGCACTTATTTTTTATTTGTAGTATTTCGCAAGTATTACGACTTCAATGACAAAACTTGGAATTATTCAATTTTTACTAGAAAGAACCTACAAATGTTATACTATTTTTAAAAAATCATTAAATAGGCTACTTTTTAAGATAATTTACCGATTCAGTCTGGTACATTTTTTTGCACAGTAATTAGTCAAACTTTAGTAAAGGTTTTCACATTGAAACAAAATGCAGTAATTTTTTTAGCATACCGTGTTAGTTTTCAATGAAATGAATACTTGGTTGTCTCAACCAACTATTAATGATATCCCAGGAAAAAACTCATAAGTTAGAAGTTCTTAATAGCCAAATCAGGCAAAAAGTAGTGATTCTTTGAAAAAACCTAAAAGTGGCAATATCTCGAAATCTAGAAAACTTTTACCAAGGTCATGTTGATTTTATCTGATTGATCTGAAGCCAATCTACCTCCCGTGTCACTCTGGTGCGTTATTTCTGGGACACCCTGTATACAATCAAGACATAAGAAAGAGGAAGTCATGATTAAATTATGTGAAAACATTACAATGTATTTGGGGCTCCCAGATGCCATATTGATTCGTTTAGTCGTTGGAGCATCCTTCTGAGAAAGTGATGTATGCCTTCTTGGCGGAGGATGATAAAAATAGTCACCAGAAGGATATCAGACACATGCAAAAGCAACTAAAAACTTTTATCGGTTTCAGTTTTGTTTAACCCCTTTATAAGCGTACCTTGACGACTGGATGATTCTATGCAGCAAACGTCTTCACTTCAAAACTTAATCACGACTTCCTCTTGCTGTCTAATTGTATGTAAAATTTCATTCAGTGTTGCTATTTTCTTTATCACTGCATATATTATGTAACAAAAATAGACTTCACTATAACACTCAAGGCTTTGAAATTGAATGTGAGTAGTTTTTTCCTTGAAGATTAAAATTTGTTTGGTAAATCGTAAATCTGTGTAGTCGTCGATAAATGTTGACAATATTTGATCATACTTTTACCAATCCTGTTTATGCATTTGTAGCATATAAACCAGTTGATATTACTTATCACAAATTTTTTGAATATTTCAATTTCGTAATACATTTTTATGGTGAACAGTCGTTTTTGTAAGCAAATTTGTATCCAATAACATTATTGTTGCATTATATTAATTTATTATTGTAAAGACAAACATTTTTGTTGGTACATTGGATTGAAATGACACCATAATATGTTTCAATCAGTCATGCAGCAGTTGTAAAGTTTACTTAGTATGCTCGAATCATATCATTGATTGAAAAAAGTTTGTAGATTAATCGTTTCAATCTATGATAGTAAATACTATTTTATGATGAAGTGCCTCAGTTTTAACACCACTGCATTGAGCACCCCAGTAATACTACGTAGTCGTGCCGTAAGTTCTGTCCCATGATAATCTCATGATAAAAATGAAACAAGATAAGATATATTTATATGAAAGATATTATTTATTCGACAACATTTTTAGAATTCATAATCAAACAGTTTTATTCAAAATGTCCCCCCTTGGCCTTCACACACTGCTTCAATCTCGCGGGCCACTCATCTATCACTGCACGCACAGCTTCCAAAGGAATAGCTGCCGCTGATCGGATCAAATCCGCTTTCAGGGACTCGATATTACGGTGGGCTTTGGAGCAGGCCAACTGCTCTAGCAGGTCCCACAACTTGTAGTCTAAAGGATTGAGGTCCGGACTCCCTGAGGGCCAATCTTCCGCAGCAATGAACTCTGGCACATTGCTTTCCAGCCAGC